CTCACACCACTCATCTCTCACACCACTCATCACACATCACTCACCAATTACCACTCACCACACACCACTCATCACACACCACTTATCTCACACCACTCATCTTACACTACTCATCACACACCACTCACCACACACCACTCATCACACACCACTCATCTGACACCACTGACTCATTGACTCCGTTACCGTTAGAGGGTCTGGTGGTTGCGTTGTCGGCTCTGGTCGGCTCTGGTCCCCGGAATATATGGAAAAAAGTCACAACCCTGGGACATATATTCGCCCGCTCGGCCCGTCGCTGAGAGCTGTAAAAAGAAACATGAAAAAAGGACAAGGGGTTTCCGACAACAACGAGCACTCCGGTGCCTCCAGTGCTTGCATGGAGTACGCGTATAGAGGGACGCACTGTAAATGGCTGCCCGCTGCCACTGTGTCACGAGCTCTTCACTGCTGCAGTGCTGAAGAAGCACCTGGATTGCCCGCTTGGTTTCTTCCCGGTCGGAGACCTGCTTCTGACTGGTGTCAAGCACCATTGCCGCCGCCAGGACCTCGTCCGTGAGGGCTGCACCAATTTGCACCAGGCCTGCCCTGCCCGGGTCCTCCATGCAGGGTCCAGGGCAGGATCTTCGGCGGCTTCGAAGTCACCTCGCCCTTCTCCAGCATGGCCAAAAACTTTTCCAGGCCTTCCTGCTGCTCTTTTTTCAGCTGCTGCAGCAGCGTCAGGACCGGGGCCGCCTTCGCGGCTTTGCTCTTCGCACCCTGGCCGAACAGCTTCTCCTCGGCTGGCCGCTTTCGGCCGAACAGGCCCAGGCCCAGCGGATCCTCGGCACTCGCCGCAGCTGGCTTCTCGGTCGGCTGCAGCAGGCCGCCACCGAGCGGATCTGCCGCGGTCGGCGTTTGGCCCTCCTTTGCCAGGCATCCAAGTAAGGCCGCCAAGAGGGCCGTGTCTGATTCCGGGGATCGCACAAAGTCGCGGACCCCCTCTGGCAGCCGCTCGAGGTTCTTGGCGAGTTCGCTCGTCCACTTCGAGCGGTTGGACATCAGCGCCGCCGCCTGGCGGAGCGGGCATGGCAAAAAATAACCGAACAACTTCCAGTGATCCCCGCCGTGACATTCTATGTGGCAACTCTTCTGGCGTTCGATCTGGCATTCTCTCTGGCATGCTCTCTGGCCTTTCTTCTGGTCTCCTCTCCGGCCGTCCTATCTGCATTCCTCCTGGCATTCTATCTGGCATTCCTTGTGGTATCTGCCATTTTGTGTGGCGGTCTTTCTGTCGTTTTGTCTGGCCTTCTTTCTGGCAAGGCTAGCTGCCATTCTATCTGGCATTCTTTCTCGCATGTCTGTCTGGCATTCTATCTGGCATGCTATTTGACGACTCCTCTGGCGGTGTATTTGGCATTTAAATATCCTTAGCGATCTATAAACCTGAAACGGAAAAACATATGCCGTAGAAAATGGCTTTGTCATTCGGTTCAATTGCTTTAGGCTTTTATGTATATATATATATATCTATATTCTCGCCGGCGGCGCTGTCTTATTGGAAATCGCAATAGATCTGGCTCCGTTAGAGGGTCTGGTGGTTGCGTTGTCGGCTCTGGTCGGCTCTGGTCGGCTGTGGCCGCCGGCGGCGCTGTCGTATTGGGAATTGCAATAGATCTCGCTCCGGTAGAGGGTCTGGTGGTTGCGTTGCCGGCTCTGGTCGGCTGTGGTCGCCGGCGGCGCTGTCGTATTGGAAATTGCAATAGATCTCGCTCCGTTAGAGGGTCTGGTGGTTGCGTTGTCGGCTCTGGTCGGCTCTGGTCGGCTGTGGTCGCCGGCGGCGCTGTCGTATTGTAAATCCGGGCGCCGGCCACGAAGCCCGTGCCCTGCCCGGGGGGCCTTCGGTGGTAACCGAAGGTTATAGACGCTGGCCCTGGCTGCCGCCGACCCTCGGTCCCAAAACGGGGGGACCCCCAGGTCACTTCCTGTCAACTGATGCCCCTGTAATTTACAGTGTATCGTGTGTGTGAAGTATAAAAAACACTGTGTTTTACAGGGTTTCGGGCCCCTCGGCAGCCGAGAATTTCATCTTGGCGATGTCGAAAAACCTAGGTTTTTTCAGTGTTTTTGCTTTGCGGGAAGGAAAAAATCGTAAAAAGTTGTATCGGAAGATTTTTTCAACATAAATCGCCTAACATATCCCCGACATAGGCCCAAGATAGCCAACATATCCCCAACATATGCCCAACATAGCCTCCAAGATGGCTCAACATAGGGCCAACATAGGCCAACTTGGGGCCAACAGACGCCAACATAGGCCCAACATAGGCCCAACCTAGGCCAACATAGGCCTGACGTGCAGCCAACATATCCCTTTACAGGGTTTCGGGCCCCTCGGCAGCCGAGAATATCAGCTTGGCGATGTCAAAAAAAACGTAGGTTTTTTCAGTGTTTTTGGTTTGCGGGAAGGAAAAAATCGTCAAAAGTTGTATCGGAAGATTTTTTCAACATAGATCGCCTAACATAGGCCCAAGATAGTCAACATATTCCCAACATATGGCCAACATAGCCTCCAAGATGGCTCAACATAGGGCCAACATAGACCAACTTGGGGCCAACGGACGCCAACATAGGCCCAACATAGGCCCAACCTAGGCCAACATAGGCCTAACGTGCTCAACATAGGATCAATATGTGCCCAACATCTGCTCAACATAGCCAACAAGATGGATCCACGTAGGGCCAACATAGGTCAACACGGGGCCGACCGAGACGGAGAAAGAGACAACAGAGACAGGCGACCCAACCTGGGTGTAAGATTTTCACACGTAGTCGACGCTGGGGCACTAGTACGCGAGCGGAGGGAGGAGCGAGATGGCGGACGAGTTTTCGGTTGCAACAGCTCTCCCGACTTTCGGCTTCTTTTCGGAGAAGAAGCCAGGGCAGTCAGCCTCCTCCAGTTTGGAGGATGCTGCTGGGATGCCCCGTGTCCCAGCCCGCGCGCAAACCTCTGCACTGGCACGCTTTATTTGTCGTTGTTTGTCTGTCTGTGGTTTACTGCGTCTTACTCCGAAATGTGTCGCACGTGCTCCAAAAGTACGAAAGCGCACACCGCAAGACAGCTGCATTCCACATACACAAGAACACAAGACGGCAGGGATGCCCCATGTCCCAGGCCCCGCGCAAACCTCTGTTCTGGCACGCTTGGTTTGTAATTGTTTGTCTGTGTGTGGTTTACTGCGTCTTGGCGCGAAATGCGTCGCACATGCAAGAAAGACACGAAAGCGCACATCACAAGACAGCTGCATTCCACATTCACATGAAAAAGCGCAAGGAAAAGCACATTCGATCCTTTTTTCTTTCCTCTCGGAGTCGTGCAGCCGTTGCTGTCGAAGTGGGGTTGCCCGAAACAGGATCGAGCTCCGGTTTTGTTCTGGCGATACGAAATAGGCGATACGGATAGCTGCCCCAAACCCCGGCCCCCGTCTTCTCCGTGGAAGACTCCATGGAAACATGGAGGGTCCCTCACCGACACCACACCCCGCAAACACCGCGAGCGACACCTACCGCCTCGACCCAGAACTCTCTTACCCAAGTGCGCCGGCGCCCGGCTGTCAGGCGTAAGCCTTTAATTACAATGGATCTCGCTCCGGTAGAGGGTCTGGCGGTTGCGTTGTCGGCTCTGGTCGGCTCTGGTCGGCTGTGGTCGCCGGCGGCGCTGTCGTATT